GAAAAAACTTTTACAGATGATGGCCAACAAAATATTACTTCCCAAGATACATTTACAGCTGAAACTCGAAAAATTAGAATATCATGCAAAAGTTCATTTATTTCAGTAATGCAACTTAAAAGGTGAAACTAATATATGAGATAGACTCATTATATGCAAAACAAGATAGTTCAAGCCGTGATTTGTCATCATTGTGATGATTATGGCTTACAGCTCATGAAAACCCCAAATCCACAATCTCAAAAAATTTTAATATTACATGCAATCAATAAAACAAGGATTGTACATAGAACAATATCGGACCTCTGAAAAGTATAAGCATGCATATGTACTCAGTACTTGGTTTGGGCCCCTTTTGAGGCAATTACTGCCTCAATGCGGCGTGGCATGGAAGCTATCAGCCTGTGGCACTGCTGAGGTGTTATGGAAGACCAGGATGCTTCAATAGCGGCCTTCAGCTCTTCTGCATTGTTCGGTCTCATGTCTCTCATCTTTCTCTTGGCAATGCCCCATAGATTCTCTATGGGGTTCAGGTCAGGCGAGTTTGCTGGCCAATCAAGCACAGTAATCCCACGGTCATTGAACCAGGTTTTGGTGCTTTTGGCAGTGTGGCCAGGTGCCAAGTCCTGCTGGAAAATGAAGTCAGCATCCCCATAAAGCTCGTCTGCGGAAGGAAGCATGAAGTGCTCCAAAATCTCCTGGTAGACGGCTGTGTTGACCCTGGACTTAATGAAGCACAGTGGACCAACACCAGCAGATGACATGGCTCCTCAAATCAACACAGACTGTGGAAACTTCACACTGGACTTCAAGCATCTTGCAGTGTGTGCCTCTCCATTCTTCCTCCATACTCTGGGTCCTTGGGCCTCTCCATTCTTCCTCCATACTCGGGGTCCTTGGTTTCCAAATGACATGCAAAAGTTGCTCTCATCAGAAAAGAGGACTTTGGACCATTGAGCAACAGACCAGGTCTGTTCTTCTTTAGCCAGGTGAGATGCTTCTGACGTTGTTTGTTGTTCAGGAGCGGCTTGACAAGAGGAATACGACATTTAAAGCCCATGTCCAGGATCTGTCTGTGTGTGGTGGCTCTTGATGTACTGACTCCAGCCTCAGTCCACTCCTTGTGAAAGTCCCCAACACTTTTGAATGGCCTTTTCCTGACAATCCTCTCCAGGCTGTGGTCATCCCTGCTGCTTGTGCACCTTTCTCTTCCACACTTTTCCCTTCCACATAACTTTCTATTAATGTGCTTTGATACAGCACTTTGGGAACATCCAACTTCTTTTGCAATTAGCTTTTGAGGCTTTCCCTCCTTATGGAGGGTGTCAATGATGGTTTTCTGCACAACTGTCAGGTCAGCAGTCTTTCCCATGATTGTGATTCCTACTGAACCAGACTGGGAGACCATTTAAAGGCTCAGGAACCCTTTGCAGGTGTTATGGTTTAATTAGCTGATTAGAGTGGGACACTTTGAGCCGAGAATATTGCACCTTTTCACAATATTCTCATTTTCTGAGATTGTGGATTTGGAGTTTTCATGAGCTGTAAGCCATAATCATCACAATTATGACAATTGAACTATCTTGCTTTGCATGTAATGAGTCTATCTCATATATTAGTTTCACATTTTAAATTGCATTACTGAAATAAATGAACTTTTGCACGATATTCTAATTTTTTGAGTTTCTCCTGTATTTAAACAATTACATTTTTTATTATACCTTTTCTATTTATTTTTTTATGCTTTTTATTTTTTTTTTTTTAGATTGTTTTTTTTATCATTTTTGTACAGAGTGGGCCCCTTCTGTCATTTTTCCCATTTAAAAATCCGGTGCTGAAATCTACAACTTCTGACATTTGTTATTTGTTTTTCTAAGTATTATTCTTTGTTTTTTAAATGCAGGTGCAAGAATCACACTATGAGGTATTGTTATCACTATTATTGTTATTTTTTGGGATGCGAAATTTTATATATTATATATTAATATATATACTAACATAACACTGAAATGTTTTCGTGCTTGAAGCTTGCATTTTTTTTAAAATAACAAACATGTCTATACTTATCTGCTCTGTGTAGTGGTTTTGCACAGGGCAACCTGGCTCCTCCTCTTCTCGGGTTCCCTGCAGGCTCTCCTGGCCCCTTCTTCCTGTCGGGTGCCCGCATAGCAAGACGCTTTCAATAGGGGCACCCACTGCTCCATGTGTCCATTCACACAAGGAGCTGAGGCTTGGCCCTGCCCACTCTCTCTTCTCATTGGCTCACTGGCTGTGATTGACATATACAGTATATACATATATTGGTACATAGGCATATATACATATATATACAAATATAGGTATATAGACATGTACAGTTGCAAGAAAAAGTATGTGAACCCCTTGGGATACATGGAGTTTTGCATGAATTGGGCATAAAATGTGCTCTGAACGTCATCTAAGTCACAACAATAGAACAACACAGTCTGCTGAACATAATACTACACAAACATTAGATGTTGCCATGGTTTAATTGCACATAACATGTAAACATTCACAGTGCAGGGAGGAAAAAGTATGTGAACCTTTGGACTTAATAACTGGTTGACCCTCCTTCGGCAGCAATAACCTCAACCAAACGTTTCCTGTAGTTGCAGATCAGACCTGCACAACGATCTGGAGTCATTTTGGACCACTCCTCTTCACAAAACTGTTTCAGTGTAGCAATATTCTTGGGATGTTTGGTGTGAATCGCTCTCTTTAGGTCATGCCACAGCATTTCAATCGGGTTGAGGTCAGGACTCTGACTGGGCCACTCCAGAAGGCGTATTCTGTGCTGTTGCAGCCATTGTTTTGTTGAATTACTTGTATTCTTTGGGTCATTGTCCTGTTGCATCACCCATCCTCTGCAGAGCTTCAGTTGGCGGACAGATGGTCGTACGTTTTCCTGCAAAATGTCTTGATACACTCTGGAATTCATTTTCCCATCAATGACAACAATCCATCCAGGCCCTGAGGCAGCAAAGCAGCCCCAAACCATGATGCTCCCTCCGCCATGTTTCACAGTGGGGATGAGGTTTTGATGTTGGTGTGCTGTGCCTTTTTTTCTCCACACATAGTGTTGTGTGTTCTTCCCAAACAACTCAATCTTGGTTTCATCTGTCCACAGTATATTTTGCCAGTAGTGCTGTGGAACATCCAGGTGCTCTTTTGCAAACTTCAAACGTGCTGCAATATTCTTTTTTTGGACAGCAATGGCTTCCTCCGTGGTGTCCTCCCATGTACTCCATTCTTGTTTCATGTTTTCCTTATTGTAGATGTGTCAACAAAAATGTCAGCATGTGCCAGAGATTTCTGTAGGTCTTTAGCTGACACTCTGGGATTCTTCTTTACCTCATGCAGCATTCTGCGCTGTGCTCTTGCAGTCATTTTTACAGGACGACCACGCCCAGGGAGAGTAGCAACAGTGCTAAACTTTCTCCATTTGCAGACAGTGTGTCTTACCGTGGACACATGAACATCAAGGCTTTCGGAGATACTTTTGTAACCCTTTCCAGCTTCATGCAAGTCAACAATTCTTGATCGTAGGTCTTCTGAGAGCTCTTTTCTGCGAGGCATGGTCCACATCAGACAGTGCTTCTTGAAACCAGTAAACCCAAAACAGGTGTGTGTTTTTTAAGGGCAGGACAGCTGTCAGCAACACATCCAATATCATCACACTGATTGGAGTCAAGGTTGGCTCACTCCTGGCTCCAATTAGCTCTGGGAGAAGTCATTAAGCTAGGGCTTCACATACTTTTTCCTCCCTGCACTGTGAATGTTTACATGTTATGTGCAATTAAACCATGGCAACATCTAATGTTTGTGTAGTATTATGTTCAGCAGACTGTGTTCTTCTATTGTTGTGACTTAGATGACATTCAGAGCACATTTTATGCCCAATTCATGCAAAACTCCATGTAATCCCAAGGGGTTCACATACTTTTTCTTGCAACTGTATATTGGTATATAGAGGAGCTGGAATTTAGAAAAAAATGAACAATGGTGAACTTATCCTTTAAGGGGCAACTACAGAAGACAAAGACTTTTGAAAGAGTTAAATGGCCATTGGATATCTATAACATTTTTTATTTGTCTGTTCAGCTGTTTCTTGCTTCTGTCAGTGTCCAGTATTTTAGCCTGAAGAATTTGGGGTTTTTTTTTTTTTGCATTCATGATATTTTTCTATATGGATATGTGTCCGTTTCATTGCCAAACCTCTGAATAATGTCTGAACTCTGTATTCCTGCCTACACAATCCTCCCAATATCCTCCACCATGTCTGAATCAAGGGCTTGTCAAAGGGTATAGTATATAGTGATGAAACACCACACTATGGCCACTAGATGAGGCTGATGACCATAGGAGATACATAAGTAAAATACCCGGATTATTTGTGACAGCTGAGCCGTAGACATTTGCATAGCAAATGTTTTTTAATGAAGCTCCTAGGGCGTGGTACTAACAGGATCACTAGGTGAAAATAAAGGAAAAGAAAATAGAAAAAATATATAACTAATGCAGCAACTATACCTAAGCACAAATGTTTAACCCCTTGCCCTCCTGAGGATTTACTCCCCTTTCTGACCAGGCCATGTTTTGCATTACAGCACTATGTTACTTTGACAATTGCGCAGTCATGCAACGCCGCACCCAAATAAATTTTACGTCCTTTTTTTCCCATAAATAGAGCTTTCTTTTGGTGGCATTTGATGGCCTGTGCAGTTTTTAATTTTTGCACTATAAACAGAAAAAGACAATATTTTTTACTTTTTGCTATTAAACATATCCAGTAAAAAAAATAAAAAAATAAATTTTGTCATAAAATTTAGGCCAAAATGTATTCTGCGACATGTCTTTGCTAAAAAAAAATTCCCAATCGTTGTAAACTAATTGGTTTGCGTGAAAGTTATAGCGTTTACAAATGGTACATATACTGGGATTTTTGAATTTATTAATTTTTTTTACTAGTAATGGCGTACTTATAGAGGGACTGTGGCAGGCATTCTGACACTGGAAGGGAACTGACTTGGTGTCACTGACATCCCTAGTGACACCAATACAGCGATCAGTGCTTATAAAAAGCACTGACACTACTAATGGCACTGGGCAGAAAGGGGTTAACATGTGGGGCAATCAAAGGGTTAACTGTGTGCTGTGTGTGGTGTTTCACTATAAGCACACTGCTTTGTATGGCTCTGCAGAGTCATACAAAGCAGTGCGCAGGAGCTGACAGGGGAGAGATCTGTATTGTTTATACACAGGTCTCACCCCCATCTGTAATACTTGCTGATCACCCTCTGGGACCCAGTGATTGACAGCCGAGGCCGTGTATGGTGGTGCGGGTAGGAAGTGCATGCGACTCACGCCCACCCCCTACCCGGAAATGCAAAATCATATATATATATATATATATATATATATATATATATATATATAATTATTATTATTACATCGAGCTTATATAGCGCCAAAGGGTTTGCTCAGCGCTGTACAATAGGGGGGACAATACATGGCACAGTACAACAAAAACAGACAGCGTACGAGGGGGTAAGAGGGCCCTACTCTTTCAAGCTTACAATCTAGGAGGGAGGGGGTAGTGGAACAATAGGAAGTGGCTGAGGGGAATGAAGTGGCTGAGGGGGATGGAGTGGTGGGAGGAATGAGGGAGAATGGCCGTTAGGTGAGGGTGGGGTAGGCTTCCCTGAAGAGATGGGTTTTAAGGGAGCGCCTGAATGTGGGGAGGGGAAGGCGACAGTCGGATAGATTGGGCGTGAGTTCCAGAGGATAGGGGAGGACCTGGAGAAGTCCTGCAGTCGTGCACGGGAGGAGGAGACCAGGGAGCAGGATAGAAGGAGGTCCTGTGAGGAGCGAAGGGTACGGGTAGGGTGGTACTTGGGGATCAGGTTGGTGAGGTAGTCAGGGGCAGTGTTATGAACGGCTTTGTAGGTTAAGATTAGAAGTTTAAATTTGATGCATTGGGCAATCGGGAGCCAGTGGAGGGAGGCAGGCAGAGGGGGGTGGCAGAGGTGGAGCGGGTGGTGAGGTGGATGAATCTGGCCGCTGAGTTCAGGATGGTCTGGAGCGGGGAGAGCCTGCACTTGTATATATATTATATATACATTAGTATATACATTAGATATTATGTGTGTGTATGTGATTTTGCACACCCGTGCCACCCTGTAGCAGTATTTCTGCTATAGGACGAAGGGGAAGCAGTTAATAGGTGCTTTCCTAATGAGAAAGCATAGTATTTCCTTGTTTGGGCAGCAATGTCACAGAGAGGTTGGCCCCTATGTGATATTATTGTTTTAAGGCCCAATTGAATCCTCAGTATTTATTACTGTAATGCAGTCAGGCTACATATCCTCTTCTTTGTGTTTTTTTTTTTTTATTACTAAATGATGCAGCAAGAGTTAAAATACCCTGCGCTAGCAGCATGGTGGAGAGTCAAACTGTTGCTCTCACAGCATTGGACTGGGTCTCTAGAGGTTCAATGCCCCCCCACCTTCCCACCCCCCGGAACAGTGCTTCAATCAACAGAGGTCATGCTCTCTAAGCAGCACTGTTGAATGGAGCGCTATGCGGGGGGGGGGGGGTTGGACGCTGGAGGGCCAGGCCGCTGTGTTGTGTGTGAGAGCAGTGGTTCAACTCTTCAGCATGCAGGATTGTAAAACTCTTTATGCAACACTTAGTAAGCATTAAAAATGAAAGAAGAGTATTATTGACTGTAAATGTAGCTGATTGCATAACAGTAATATATATTGAGGCTTCTATTGGGTTTTTTTTTAAATGGGGTAACTTTACAGTAAAGCTAGCATTTCTAGTAACAAGTACAATAACATTCCTGTACTTTACAAACATTTGTAAAGGGGCGGAGCCAACTCATGGGGCCCCCGGGCAATAGGGGATCATGGGGCCCCTGTGTGCTTGCCCACACTCAAACCACACCCAAAAAGCCTATGAAAGGTACCAGGGGCATCTCATGGGGCCCCTTACTGACCCCAGGCCCTCGGGCAGTGCCCGAGTTTCCGAATGGAACAAGTACAATAACTTTCACTGTCAAAAGAAAGGCTACAAACATTTGCAGTCTCTGGGCTATAATTACATGGCATGTAAACTGATCAATTTTCTGTCTTCGAACAGCAATTAAGTCATAAGGACAAAGCCATATACAGCACCCTTACATCTAAGGCTGGGAAGCAATAATGGTAAGAACATGTTTACTGAAGATCCTTTAAAGTCTAACGCCAGACATTTTTTTTTATTTCAGTCCATGTGCAGCCCATATAGGAAATAGGGCCACAGATGGCAATAGAAAGCTGATAAAGCCTCAACCAATCCCCACTCTACCATTAAAAAAAAAGAAATTAAAAGTTTTATATGGTTTGGGGGTTTAAACATTTGTTTAATGATTACATGGCCATCTTATTTGGTTCTATCTCTCTATATACAGTAAATGCATTTCTCAAAAATTTCTATGAATTTCTTTATAATTTCTATACATTTCCCTATAATAATTATTTTCCCTATATAAATAATTTGTTATCTATATAAATGAATAAATGTTATGTCCTAATTTCAAACAGCTGCATAATAACTGCACAGATCAGCAGAAAGCATTTGAACTACCATTCCTGTAGAGAGAACAATAACCGTTCGTACCTGGCCCCCATCCATGATCACCCCTCTTCTTTGCCTACTCTCTCTTCACCCTCTGGTCTATGACCAGTTCTCCTTCTGCATCCTCTCCCAGAGGAACATGATCCATTTTCAGTCCACTGTTCCCTCAACCCCTCAGCAATATTTACTTTGACTCTACCTCTGTCAGGGCAGGGGCCGAGGAACGGACAGGCAGGCCTAACAATGTAACGCACTGGCTGACGACAACCACCACCCACAAACCGAAGTCCCTCAGGGCGCGGAGTCTAAGTCCCAGGCTGCCCTTCACCAGGGCCCCTGATGGTGGGGATGGACTTGACGCAGCCAGGAACCAGGTCGCGGCCCCCGAGACACCTCAGCTGCGGTAATGGCCGCCGCCAATGGCGTGTAGCTGGTGGAAGAGACAAAAGAGTAGTCAGACAAGCCGGGTCAACAACAACAGGACAAAACAGTACAGGACAGCAGACGAGAATCACAGGTCACGAGCCGGGTTCAGCAACAGAGGGTCAGATCAAAGGAGAATACAAAGAATAGTCGAGTCACAAGCCGAATCAGATACCAGGAGAGTCACGAGAGTCAGAACAGAGTAATAGCAACACAAAGACACAAGACACAAGTGCAAAGAGCATGTGCGGGCCACAGGCTTATATGTCATCAGCCACACCCCCTCTGGGGGATGGACCACAGAGACCTGAAGGCATAAAAGGATTCCCACCATGCACAGCAGAATCCAAGATGGATGCCAGCACATGGAGTAACATAACCTCAGGGAAAAGGTAGGACCTTGACAACCTCCTCTTCTCCATGTCCATGACCTCCACTATTTCATTTACACCAGCCACAATCATATTCAGCCTAATTTTACCTATTCTCCCAATGGTCCATGGTCAGGTCAAACATTGTCTCCTCTCTCCCCTGTCTTTGAGCATGTAGTCAGGTGCAGTCTACTTTCTCTACTGTAGATCGCTCTCATCAAGAGTGGCAGTGCAGTTGGAGGGGGAAGTCAAGAGAATCTGGGCTTCCCTGGAGCAGCGTTCGATTTGTATCCAGGTGACCCTGGCGGCAATCTTGGGTCACACAGCGTCTTCTTAACTCCCTGCCCTTGGGTTTGGTGCGCTTTTGCAAAGTGGCTAGTGTAGGGAGAGCATGCCCGTCTGTCAGGGACAGGACTAGCAGCAGGGAGAGGTTCCATAGGAATAGGGAAAGCTCAGGGCCTACTGTATGTCTGCAACTCCTCAACTCGAAGGAGCTTCCTTTTGGGTTGGACCAGCCAGCCTGCATTCTACCTTCCTTGTCAGATGCTGTCTTTAGTTTGGGCCTACTCTCTGCTAACTCTTGTTCCTTGGGCATCCCATATACCCCTAGACCCCATCCATATGGTTAACCCCTAATAAAAAACAACCAAAAACCAGCTCAAGCACTGTATTACTGACTCTGGGCATGCAAGTGTGGGAGAGGCATTTTGCCTGGCCGTGCAGAGCATTGGGGGACCCAAAACAAATTCAGCAACCCTCAAAGGATAGTGCTACACATCCCTCATGGTTGATGTTCATCTTCTGCTCTATTTGCCTATATTTCTTCACCATCCATGGTCAGCTTGAGCTCTGTCTCCCCCATAATTAATGTTGTATTACAACATTACTTAAAGTAGAACTGTATACAAAACTTTTTTTTATTTTGGATAGAGTAAGGGAGGGTTAGAAACTCTTTCAATTTATTTTTTTTTTTGCCATCTGTGTCCATTGGAGACATATACCTTCACTTCCTGTCCCAGAGCCAACCAGGAAGTGAGGAAAGGAGAGGAAAATCCATAAATTAAAGGAATAACCTGGGACCCTCAGGTTACCAGAACTAGTGTCCCCATTGGAAAATTACCCTTCTATTACATTTTCGTGACAACCCAAAATGTGGGATTTTCTTTTACTTTCCTTTTCAATGATAATGGTAAGCAGGACAAATATAGAGTATGAATCTCCTTAATGGGCTCACAAACAGCAATAAATACCTAGCAGGGGTTCTAATCCCTCTTCACTTTATCCAAAGCTAAAATATGTTTTGCCTTTAGTTATACTTTAAACTTATAATAAATATTCAGCTAAATACTGTCAGATTGGGTAGTAATGCATACATGTATGTTGAATTACTAGAGAACAAAAAACATTCATCCTAAATTAACTATTTATACACGAGTACGCACATGTTTTCTAAAGTACAATATATATTATATTTAGTGTGTGTTTTATGTATTTAATTGTATGTATATTGTTATTTGTCTTTAGGTTTTCCTTTGGGATTTTTCTAAATTAAACAACTTGCAAGAAATGATTTATCATATGTCACAGGATAATAAAACAGATGCGTTCACCCTGGAAGATCACTGTACCCCTTCTTCACTACCAATACTTACCAGCCTTGAATGTCCAGAAGAAAAATATAATAAATCAACTGAAACAATTTTAGAAAGCGGTAATGCACTTACAAGTGTTGCATTTGAATCAAGCCCATCGTGTATCCATATGGCTGTAATCAGAGCACCAATGCTCAATGCAATCCACCATCATCTGGCCAGTTTAAGGGAAGTAGGAGAAGCCGAAATGTGGAACTGTACTACTGAAGAAAGGCAATATCCAAATAGAGTTACTTAGGTCTTTTTCAGTCAGGCACATGGGGCCATATAATGTAAAATTCAGGTGTATTTCCTTGCCTGGAGCCACAGGTGCTGTGTAGAGTCAACCA